AGACAGAGAGAGAGGAAGAGATGAGAGAGAGGAGAGAGAGAGAGCGAGAAGCGAGCAGGGAGCGCAGAGAGCGAGAGAGCGAGAATGAGCGAGAGACGCGAGAGAGTGACGGAGAGCGAGCAGCGAGAGCGAGAGCAGAACGAGAGCGAGAGCGCAGAGCACGAGAGCCGAGAGCGAGAGCGAGAGCGAGAGCGAGGCGAGAGCGAGAGCGAGAGAGAGAGTAGAGAGACAGAGGAGAGAGAGAAAGAGAAGAGAGAGAGAGAGAGATAGAAGAGAGAGAAAGAGAAGTTAAACCTATTTTTATCATCCGGAAATAGCAGCGGGTTTGGGAGCTGGCTTTTTTTCGATTACAGCCCTGTATGCCAGCGATTTTTTTCAAGGTTGCGATAACCGCAAGCTTTTTTTCCCCAAAACGAGTTAAACGACCCCCTTATGCGTAATGATGGATAATGGCGCGGCAGTATATATAGAAGTACTATGATATATATAATATATATATGTATATTATTATTTATATATCTGATTATTGTCCGCCGAAATATTACTGTCGAAAGTCCGACATCGATATATAATACTATATAATATATATATAATATATATATATTATATATATATAGATATATATATTAGGTGCGCGTTGCGACCAGTCCGCAGTTCAACTTCCGGGGCGTCCAAGCTGTTGAGCTGCTGCCTGTGTTTCGTCTCCCGTACATTAGGGCTAGCGCTTTGTCCGCTGCCTACGCTCACATACTCGTCTGTTTTCCTGCTATAGCTACTAGCTCCACGCTTGACGCATAGTATTGTGTATAGTTGTGAGCGTGCAGTGCAGATGAAGCACGCCACTTGCCGCGGCGTCCTGCTCTGAACGTGATTTACGAAGGTGATCGAAGAGCAAAAGAGAAACAACGATATGTGCTAACCCTTTCCTGCACTCTCCTATGATACGGTGCTACTCCGTCCGATGTATTATGATATGCTATCAGCGCCGTGAATAAAAACACGTTACTACACCGATGACACATATCATATAAAACTACATAAAACATAGCTTATATAAACTATTTTACAATGCTATAATCTACTATCTAATCTATCTAGCTATCGTATCATCTATATATCTATCTATCTATCTATCTAATCTATCTACTCTATCATCTTATCTATCATCTATCATCTAAATCTACATCAATCTCTGCTCTATATACTATCAATTTCCTATAAATCCTCGCATCTATAGGCCTAATAGTATATTACACTAATGGATATCCACGATACATCTATCGCTATACTATAGCTACCTATACGATTATCACAAACATAAGTAAGTAATGTCCATAGATATCTATGGAAGTTTCGTGGATATACGATAGTGTTTGTTTCTTGCACTCACGTGTCTTCGCGTCTTGGACATATTATGTGTGTCATTAAGTACAGAGCAGAGCAATGCCCGCTGTTTTAAACGGTGTTGGCAGAAAGGTGCGATAGTGAAGACTACTAAGTCAGCTTAATTATTTAATTTTTTTTTTAGGTTAGGTTACCGGCTAGGTTTTTTTTATGCAGAGTCATATCCGTAAGTGCCTATATCACATCAATATCCGCACACTCTCTGCCGATCGCGTTATACAAGCGAACGATGCCACCTCGCGGAGGAATTCGATGGTTGCGTCGTCGTGTGTTTGTAGTGAAAGTCTTCTCTATTTTCATGCCATCAATAAAGGGACGGTAGTCGAGCAAGGAGGTGAGATAGATGGAGAGTAGTGAGAGTCGGACATTTTGCACGTGTTAGGATTTGACATCTCATCTTTGATCGTGTATGGGGGGAGGGATCTATTGAATCGATGATTTGGGGAGGGATCGTATATCGTGTACATGGGGAGGGATCTTGATCGATTATGTGGGTGATGGGCTCTGATCGGGTGGTACTGGGGGAGGCACTATGACGTGTACGTGAGGGATCTATGATCGGTGTATGGGGGGAGGGATCTATGATCGGTGTTGGGAGGGACAGATCGTGAAGGGAGGATCTATATCCGTGTATGGGGGAGTCAGAATCGTGTAGGAGGAGAATAAAGCATTTTTTTTTTCCATGTCCTATGCCGTTAAAGCTGAGTGAATACTAACTCTCCATGATATGCGCATTCTCTTCTCTCATCCCTCTCATCCATCCATCTCTTCCTCTTCTTTTCTCTCTCGCCTCTGTCTCGCCCTCTCTCTCTCTCGTGCTCTCTCTCGTATTTATATACATACTGCTACTAGAGTGAATGCATCGGCAAGGCTGTAGGGGAACAGATAGCAGACAAAAAAAATTACTGAAAGCCCGTGAACATAGTCAGCTGAATTGAGCCATAATTGCCTAAAGTGATGGAGTTATGACAGTTTTGCACTCATAGGTATCCTATAAGACGGTTTTCTCTGTATGTATATGTAGCTGTGATTGTACGTGCGAGAGAACCGAGGGGCCCGGGCAACCGCACTACATCTACCTGACCTCAGATTGTTCACCATAGTAGATATTTAATCAGATTGTCAAATTGTACGTACCTCTGTCTTCGCGCTACTCCCCAACTTACTTCATGTCTATCAGTCTCCTTGTTCTATGTTTCTGCGGTTATATGTCTAAGTGGCTCTTTCTTCACTCTGGCCACCTCTGTTATCGCTCAGTGCGATCTTATTGCTAGACTGCACCTGACAGCGCGACTGATCTATGCGCAGGTTCGTCGGAGGGCGCGAGCGGCGACACGAGCATCCACGGCGGCAGTCTACTCGACGACGGAGACTGGCACGATGTGTTCATCGAGCGAACTCGCAACGTCATCAAGCTCACCGTCGACCAGATGGAGGTAGAGGGCGCTGGCAGCACCGGCTTCTCTCAGCTCGACCTTGACGGGAAGGTGAGTGCGGGAGAGCGAAAAGGAGATGAAGGTCGCCAGGAGAAGGAGAGGTGTGGGCGTGTGTGTCATGAGGAGGGGGTAGGAAAGTGCCATGATGGGGAACGTAGGCAGATACCATTATGAGGGACGCAGGTAAATGAGGAGGGCTAGGAAATAGGGATAGCAATGTAGGTGAATACCATGAGAAGGAACTATCACAGCATTTGGCTCGCCCGAGATATTCCCAGCCTTTCTGATTTCCCCCCCACGCTACGTTTGCTCCCAATTTCGGCCATGTCCCAGATTCCGCAGCCTCGCTGACGCACCCAGCCACTTTGCTCACAATGTCCCAGATGTTCCCAATGTTCTCAGCCTCCTGACTCACGCCACAATTGTTCGCTGTGTCCCTCTGACTCACCTCAACACGTTTGCTTCCTGTTGTTCCCAGATCTTCCCAGAAGTTCCCAGCCTCTCTGACTCACCCACACGTTTGCTTCCCAATGTTCCCAGATGTTCCCAGCCTCTCTGACTCACCCACACGTTTGCTTCCCAATGTTCCCAGATGTTCCATCCTCCTTCTCACCCACGTGACGTTTGCTCCCTAATGTTCCGAATTTCCCCAGCCTCTCTGACCACGCGCACCACGTTTGCTTCCTGTTTGTTCACAGATGTTTCGTCGGCGGAGTGTCGAACTTCAACCAGCCGGGGCATGACGGTCAGCGAGAACTTCCTCGGTTGTCTTGACAACGTGCAGTTCAACCTGCGCGGGGTGCTGGACGCAGCGCGAAGCAAGCATCCGCGCGTCACCTTCTCCGGGGCCGTCAGCTTTGTCTGTCTGGTAGGTGGGTGTGGTACCCTGCTAGGTGCGAGGGAGTAAGCAAGCTGCCCCCTTAAGGCCCCGGACCACACTAAGGCATTCACCCGAATGTACAATTCATCGGCCAATTAAACGTGCCATTTCATCATTATGAATGTCAATCTAGTGGCCCGAGCGTTTAATGTGCCACCCCGCCGGGAGAAAAATCGCCGATGAATTCGCGCTGAAAATCTCCCTAGTGTGTCCACTCAGTCGTCCGACTCAGTCGCCCGAACTCAACGCCTGTGGTACACTTTGTGTATACATATATGTACCTCGGGTACATATCTGTAGTACCTGATACGACAACGACCCCTTCAGCGTAACTATAGTGAACCACTAACGAGACTCCACAACGAACTATACAGCTAGGTAGCTAGGTTGATAGACTGTGACCGCGAGTGCTGAAAACTTGCAGATGCAGTTTTGCGGTAAGCAAAATCATTCTTGCGTTTCGATGCGCCCGCCAGCGTTAACTCTTGAGTTTCAATTTGTGCGTGCAATCTTGTTACGTTACTTCCTTGACGGTAATTCAAATTCTGCCGTAGGTGTTTGAAAGTCCAAGCAAGAATCAATGTTCGTGATTTATCGAGTCTATATGTATATATATATATATATATGCGGCCTGACTGGAAGCGATGTACGCTGTGTAATACAGCGAAGAAAACCCAACGCGGGCCCAACGGTGCATTAGGATAGCTAATCCATACTCCCAATTACTGCCAGGACGAGAATGGCTATCGGCGCCACCTGGTGGTTGCATTCTGCATGATTATTACTTGGGGGAGGGGAAAGGAGGGGAGGGAGCAGGTAGCTTTGGATGTAGTACGTTTATATATGCTACTGCTCGATTATAATGCAGATAAATTAAAACATGATCAATTATAGAACAGCTATAGCAATCAATTACACTACAAGCTCAATCACAGCATGTAAAATAATAACACATTAAATTATAGATATAACAATATGATCCAACAAGAGTTGGGTTACATTATAATATTGTACCTACTCTTGCTGGGTTACATTACTCTATATAATTAAATCCTAGCTTATGTTAAATTATCGCACGTTCGATTAGTGTACAGCTTAATTATAGCACTTAAAAATGATAGATCGAGAAATTATACCACGTTTGATTGAGTACAGCATAATTAAAGTATCATAAATCATAGTGCAGCTGTATTATAACACGTTCAGAGTGACCTGGCCCGCAGCTAGTTGGGTGAGTTCTCGTGGGTAGATAGTAATCGTGTCTGCACACACCCTCGCAGGTCTTCGACGGCAACAACGACACGGACACGGTCGCGCGGCGCACCCTGGCAGCGCCGGTCATCGCTCGCTACGTGCGCATTGTGCCGATTCGCTGGCAGCACAGCATCGCGCTACGACTCGAGCTGTACGGCTGCGGCTATGGTATGTATGTGTTCGTCTGTCTGTCTGTCCGTCGGTCTGTCTGTCCGTTGGTTTGTCCATCCGTCGGTGTGTCCATCCGTTCGTCCATCGGTGTTTTGGTCTGTCCATCCGTCTCTCCGTCCATCTTACCTATCCGTCCGTCGGTCTGTCTGTCCATCCGTTGGTCTATTGGTGTTTTGGTCTGTCCGTCCGTCTGTCTGTCCGTCTGTCCATCTGTCCATCCATTAGTCCATCGATGTTTTGGTCTGTCTGTCCGTCGAACCGGTGTTGTTCTTCTCATCGGCGTTGTTCTCTCCACGCATGTTCCAGCGACGCAGTCCGTGCAGTTCGACGGCGCGTCGTTCCTGCGCTACGACCTCTACGATCGCGGCCAGACCGACAACGACGCCATCTACGTGCGGCTGCGGACAACGCGTCCGGACGGCGTTCTGCTGTACGCGCGCGGAGCGCAGGGCGACTACATCTGTGTCGAGATGTCACGAGGACGCATGTTCGTCAACTTCAACCTGGGTAGGTGCGCCGCCGCCGCCGCCGCGCTAATTAGTATCCGGTCGCTCGTTGCGCTAATTAGGTC